CTGTATCTTCAATGGGCTCCTAATCAGGGCAAGAGACATAAATGCCTGGTACAACTGTGATCCTGAGGGGTGTGGGGTCAATGAAGGCTTGTGTCTTAACAGTGACAATATCTGAGTCTTTGAAAAGTATAAAATGAATTCTGAGAGAATTCAGTCCTCAGAAAGGAAACAATGAATACTCAAGTCCATGACCCAAACAACCTACGGCATTGAGAAAAGCCACAGATCCAAATCAGGATTAGGGCCTTGAGTAAGAGTATTGGTTCTGTCAACAACATATTGACTTCTCCCTCAACTGTTCAATAACTTTAGGGTGCCTCCTGAGTAGAAGATGAAAATATTATTATAAAGTCTATTAAAATAAACTTCCCATATGAAAAGGTCACCTACTTCCAATCTGTTGAAATAAGAGAGTCATAATATTTATTTCATGAAGAGGGTGTGAGGTTTAGCCGGGATTCATTTATTTCATTACTCCTTCTAAGGGACTTTAAAATTTATATAATGCCATATGTGGTTTGTAGGAACAGACTTCATGAGGATTTGATGAAAAATTCTCTGAATGTTTCATCAGGTTTTGCATCATTTTCAAGCATAGCCACCCACGCTAGAACTTTCTGAGTAATCACAAGGAACCTGGTACTTCAAGAACTTCCCAAATGTTGGTCTTAGCCAATTCACTGTGTATACTGTTGCCTCTTTAATCATCCCAGAACCTTTATTAGTGGTAGGGCCTTCTATTGCCTCTACGTTTACTAATTATTGATGCTTTTGTAGAACATACATACCATCCCCATGGTTTTCTTTCCAAGTAAACTAAGCAACGAGGCAGGTATTGGCTACCTTTTTTTTTTTTTTTCCAGATCTGAGGACCGAACCCAGGGCCTTACCACTGAGCTAAATCCCCAACCCCTTGGCTACCTTTCTTAATTCTTTGATTCTAGCATCTTCCACAGTAATGAACAGACATGGAGGTTATTCAATAAAGATTTGTCAAACAAATGTTGAGAGAAACCCTCTGCTCAGTTACAAGGCAGAATCCAGTCTGTGCCACCAGATATGAGCAGCTTCCTGCTTTTCTTCTGTGCTGGGCGCCATCCTCACATTTCCTTTTCCTGCCTATCCTAGGTTATCTGTTATTTAAAACACAGGCTCTCAACCTGGGTAGTATATTACAGCCACCTGGGTGAGCTTTACAATGAAACCAACGCTTAGGCCTGTGTGTGCCCTCATGCTGCCCCTTGCTGCTTTATTTAGCTCATCAGCATGGAGCCCTGCTTTGATATCTTACAAAAGCTGTCATGCTGAAGCTGCAATCCAGTCGGGCTTGAGAGCTACTGGTTGGAACTACCCATGTCCCACCCTCTCCTGGTATCTTCAAAAGATGCCCCCGATGATTTCACCTTTCTATGGACTCACAGTGGTTACTGTTTCAGCCATTCACATAGAAGTAGGACAGACACTGCCTTGTGATGATGCTTCAGCATCCCTTACTATGGACTCCCTCTTGATTATTCATGAGTGCACACATGCACAAATATAAATTCTTCCATCCCTTACTGGAAGGCACTCAAGAGCAGAACTATGCCTTCTTCTTCCTGGCATCTCTATGCCATGCACATGGTGAGCTCACATGCATTTTTGAATGATTTTAAATGACAAAGATTACAGTAAACCTAGTAGAGGCCTCTTTAATTCTGCTCTAAAGACATGGTTTTGGTTAGAGGAAAAATATTGTAAAATGGGTAAAATTGGATTGAAGCAGCGCAGGGCAGGAGTAAATAAAAGCCAAGTGCAAAAGAGCCCTGAATTAGTTCAAAGGAAAACGTATCCCAGCGTCTTATGAAGGATTTTGTAGATACTGAAGCAGAATAAACAAGACATTGAACTTGGCTTGTACCCTGATAAGGAGGTTTCTTTCTTAGTTATATAATTTTACAAAGCTTCCAGGGTGTAAAGAAAATAGTCAGCCAAGAGGGACTCCTTCCATTGGACAACACAATTCAACTCTTGGGCTGTTCAGCTTGACTTGATCTCCTTCTGGCCCTATGATGCCAGACTAAGCCTTATATTCAAGAGACCTGATGCAGGATAAAAATACACCCCTCATCCCATAAGCTTGATCCCTTGGTAACATGGTTTCTATTTTCAGACTGAAAACAAAACAAAAACCAAGAAACAAAAACTATATCTGCTATGTTGAAGTTGGTGTCTCAGAGGTATGGCTATCCTAGAAAGGCCCTACATGCTCTCCTGTTGACAAATACCATAAAAAGGTATTTCTAGACTAATTTCAAAGGATTGTTTTGTTGCCCATGTCATTAAAAAAGCCTTATCTTCACATGGCTTCAATACTGTGTCATGAACTAAGACCACAGGAAAGACCAAGAGAATCACTACACCCACTAGCTGCTAAGGCAAGACAAGGTCATCAGAATGAGACATGTTTCCTATATCAAACATTATCCTAGGTATTAGGTCACAAATTTAACAATTTATTTCTACAGAGAAATTAAAAGCATGTTCTCTTGTCTGAATTGGTAGTCCGGTCATATTTTCATTTTTGTTTGAAAACCATACTTGAAGGCATTCAAGCCTGCTGCTGGTTGATTAGTAACCAGGGCAACACATTTTCCTTTGGAGATCACACCAATGACCCATCTAATAGGATATGAGTTCATAGACTGTCACTGATCTATCCACACTTTGTTCCTGGTGCTTCTTGTGATCAGTGGCCTGTATTTGACCCTATCAGCCAAGAGCCACCCAAATCCTCAAGTCACCAAAGATATAAAAAACAGTACTTGGTCTATCAAGTACTTCCTGTTGTCTCTGACAACATGGACATGGATGAACATGTTATCATAAAGAAACCAAAAATATAGTTTAACTTTATTTATTTATTTATGAATTATATCTAGAATTAGAAAAACTAGAATCTGTATGTGAGAGACCGTAGAATCAGTATGTTATAAGAAGAAGCCATCTCAAATTGAAGGCAGAGATAGTGTGGGTTTTCAACAAGTAGAGTCTAGGGTCCATGAAGTGAAAGAATCAGGACTAATGTTGGGGACACAAAGGTCTTTGCACTCACAGATAAGCACTAGGGAAACCAGGAATGTTAAACACACAGGCTTCTCTCTTCAACAGAAGGGATGTATACATGTTCTCTACCCAGAAGTCTGGGAGCGAATGTAGTTAATAACCTGGTGACCTTTGCTATCTGCAGGGCCTCAACCGAATGCCCCAGTATGTTTATTCCAGACCCTTCCTTCCTAGACTTGTATCTTTATCTTGTTTCTCAGGGAACAGAACCCATCCTTAAGGGAGATGTCACATGTACTTTATAGCCTGTTTTCTGTATAACCAAGAACACACCAGATCCTAGGCCCTTAAGCTATAGAATCCATCTTCATGGAAGAGGTCACATGTATTTTGCAAAAGAGTTTCCATGTAGTCACTCTTTAATCTTTATTGTGCACATAGGATTGAGATAACTGTTACCAGGAAACTTTTCCCCAAAGTTTCGGTGTACTCAAATGTGTCTAAAATAAACTGCCTGGTATCACACCCTAGAAGTTTGAACCAGGTAAACTAAGTTGTGTTGAACTGAATTTTCTTCTTGCCTCATGTAGATCATTACTCTGCCAGCCCTGGTGATCACAGAGACCCTCCCCCACCCCCACAAACACTAATTCACAAAGAATGCTGCTATTAGCAGAGTTATATCTGATAGTGACTAACAATGTTTATTTATCAACACTTAGCACCCAAGGGGCACACCAATGATTATTAGGTTCTCCAGAAGTCTTTTGGATATATTCCATCAAGAAAAATATTGGACATAGCACCCAGGATACTGGAATCACCAGTGAAAAGGTGTCTCTGAAGTAACAGACGTGAGGTGGCAGGAAAACACAAGGATGCTTCTTTGCTTGGAAATAACCTGTTTTATCTTCTCAGAACAGGGCTGATCCAGCGACCAGGCTGGAATGCTATTTACACAGGCCCAAGAAAACCAAGAAGAATCCTCTGGTCTGTAGCCAACGACAGTCACAAAGTTGTCTGGAGAAGGCAAGTGTTCGTATCTACATCAGATGATTCCTGCCTCCTTGCTAGGAAGGGTCAATTTATCTCCTGATGGTAAAAGCAACACCATCCTGCCCCATCTCCTCCCACCTGGTACTACCTTCTTCTTTATTAACCTGGATTCACCATGTATTTAGTCATCAAATCTGGCTTTGAATTCTGCCCCATTCAAAGCATCAGGGCACCACCCAGTCTCTTTCCTTTGCCCTCTTTCATGAGCGATGCCAATTCAGTCTGGTCAAAAAGTGGAAACAAGTTGAGGTAGGGCATCAAGAAATAGAAACTTCCTGATTTTTGAGGAGATTGGACTAAAGAATTCCTTTCTCTGGAGTTGGGTGAGGAGATTGAGAAAGGGGAGGACAGTATTCCTTTCTGAATGGAGGGATTCTCCCTTGAGAAAGCCATCAAACTTTCAGAGGACCCTCTGACATCATTTAGGACTTTCAAGCACTAGCATCTGTGGTAATGTAAAAGTCTCCGGAACCTGGGCTTATGCACTTAGCAGAAGCTGCCCAATCTTAAGGTCTGAAAACACATACATGCTAAGAAAAAGCATGGCAACTATTTAATTTGCTCACAGATTAGCTAGTCTTCAACAAAAATAATCACTTTAAGATGGAGGATTTAAAATCCCCCCAAGTGTGTTCCCTGGTCAATCACATATGTCAAGGAGATGCTAACTCTGCCGGATCCACTCTTACACTGCTTTCCTGTGTGTAGCTAGCTGCCCTCCCCTCTCTCCCACCCTCCCCCCTTTTATTTTAGTTGCTGTTAGGACAAGCAAAGTTTCCTTACGGTCCCCTTGCCAGTCAGACAGAGACGGTGGCAAACACTTTCAGATACTCTGATTTCTAGCTCATCTTTTTCTCCGACCTTCACGCTTGAAGAACTTTGTGGGAGCATTCACTCACCTGCCTTCTCTCTGAGTCAAGGTACTGGAGAATCAGCCGGGTGTTCACACAGTGGCTCCACGTGTTTCCCAGTGCGGCTACCACACAGCTGGACCCAGAAGTGCCTGAAAGGAGACAGGGCAGAAACCAGTTTTCAGAGGCCCTTCCAACTTATACAGCCTTTGAGCTAAGCTGAGTCATTATTCATACTCAGATCAAGCTAAAGCTCAGTCTGTCACCACAAAAGTGGATGAATTAGAGGAGGATGGCATGAAGAAACCGGAGACTAAATAAGAACCAGCATGGGGTCCTTCACCCTTAGTGAAAGTGACTACCAATGTGCAAACAAAGGCAGTTACACACTAACAAGAAGATGCATGATACAGCAACCAAGCTACTGCTGATAACGCACCACACCTCTACCCATCCCTGGGAGGAGGGCACAGCGCTACTCTACTGTTTACGAGCCTTCTTTATTTAGTTGAATTAGTAGATCTTCTTTTGGATTGGTAAATGTCTTAACTCAATTTTCCTTATCAATCCCGTGGCATACACATATAGCAATCCTTTGCCTTCCCTCCCCCACACCCAGAGGGGAGTCTGGAAGAGCTCAGCCTTTCAAACCCAGTCTGATTTCCTTTGCTCTCTTTCAAGAGGAACATTCCTCTACCTCCTAATACTTTCCTGTAAGGAGGATCTGAACTGGACTCCATCTGAATTCCAAGCTTACTCCAAGTTGCACGTGGGCAGCTCTCTTATATCTCCACATCTGCCCTGATCCCTTTTGACATGACCAAGAGAAAGCCATCCCTGCTTCCCAACTCCCTTCTTTCTCTTTGAGGCAAACTGCCAAGCCTTGCTTGCTTCAGGGAATCCAGCTTCCTCTCATGCCTGATGTATCGTGAGGTTTCCTCCCCAATCTTGCGCCCTCTTTGACTCCAGCCGTGGCAGGGATACTGGCCTGAGGGGGCCCTATTGAACGCTTTGCCTCCCATCATTGAGATACATCTCTTTTACATAGCTGTTCACTAAATTAGCTGAAACATGGTGAGGCACCAATTCTCCTCATTGTATTATCTCACCTGCACATCATGGTCAAGTAGCAACTGGCCCTCTTTCCCAGGACAGACAAATTCTACGGTGGTACCAGCTCCATAAGTCTTAAGTTCTTGGGTCCAAACGCTACAACCGAGAAATGATGTTCAGAGGGTCTTAGCTGGAAGTGTTTTGCTGGCTAATGGCTAGTGGGAGGGCTACTGTCATCTAGAAGTTAGAGGCCAGTGTTGTTGTTGAACATCCTATAATGAACAGAACAGGACTATGGCAAAGGTCTACCCACCTCACAGTATAGCAATTCTGGAACCCTAAAGTTAGATAATGAATCAATTAGATGGAAATCAATAACAGGCCTCCCTCGATAATGGGATTTAAAGGTTTATTCTATTTAGCATAGAAAAGAGTAAAATTCAGAGTGACCCTGGTTCATTGTGTACACAATTCAAAACATGAACAGATGAGGGTGAAAATAAATAATTTGGCCTGTGGGAATCTGATCACCTCGCCCCCCTTGCCCGATTTAATCCTTAGTAGTCCTCCATGAATGAGGATAAGATGTTAATGCCTGAACAATGCATTCTGGGGCTTTATCTTCTGCTCCTGCCTCTCCCCATGACTTCACCTCTCTGAGCCCCCTCACTGAATGGCTTTGCTGTGACCTTTTGACTTCTCTGTCCTCATCATCCTTGACCTCTTGTCAGCAGTTGATAAAGTTCCCTCTCTTTGCCGGAGAGTCTGCTGGCCTTCTCCGTTGACCTTTACCATGGGGAGCACTTCTTTGCCCTCTCTGCCTTTCATCTCCCTCTTCTTACTTTGGGTGGACCCCAGGGAACAGGGTGTGGCCATGGCCAGTTTCTTTTCCCTATTTAATACCAAATGATGAAGAGCCATGAGTGGCTATGAAATTAATGTTCATTAGTAAGAGGCCAGGTCTTTATTACATCAGAGATGAACTCAAAATTCCAATTTTCTGGAGATGCACAACCTCTCAATCTCCCTTCCACTGTCTGCTCCCCCTCCATTTGTGTATGCTCTTTGTTCATGGTACAGGGTTACACAAGTACATTTTCCTGCAAGTATGTAATGTACTTTTAGCACATTCTCCCATATCTCTCTAACTTTGCCTTTCTTTCTTCTCCCTCCTCATTAGTCACCTTGTTTTACTGTTTCCTTTCTGCATGCCATATATGTATATATATATATACATACATATATATGATTTTATGAATCTATATAAAATCTAGGAACCATGAAGAAGAGAAATTATGTATTATCGTATTATTTGCCTTTTGGGGACTCAATTTACTTAATACAAATATCTCCAATTGCATCCATTTTACTGATAGAACTTTATTTTTCATGGATGAAAAAAATTCCATGTGTTTATATATGCCATGTTTTCTTTACCTGTTCCTTTGTTAATAGACCTAGGATTATTCCTTGATTTAGCTATTATTTTTATGTGTATGAGTGTTTTGTCTGCATGTATATATGAGCACCATGTGTGTGCATGGTGTCACTGAGACCAGAAGAGGGTATCAGGTCCCTTGTAAGTGGAGTTATGGACAGTTGTGAGTCACCATGTGGGTGCTAGGAACTAAATTCAGGTCCTCTGTAAGAGTAGCAAATGTTATTAACTGTGGAAACATCATCTCTCCATCCCCTCTTCTGATTTTTAAAAAGAGAAGCCAAAAATAAATATTTTGAGTTAATTTTTCTGATTTAAAAATGCTGGCTTGGCTGAGGATATCACTCAGTGGTAGACGCTTGCTTAGCATGGACAAGACCCTGGGTTCAATTCCACAGCACTACACATAAAAGTTGGTCTTCAAGTTTTTGAAGACTTGAGAACCAGATGGGTTCATGCCCATCAGGTTTTTCTATCTGCCCATGTGGTCTGGCCACATGTCTATCTACCCTGTGTCCAGAGCTGCCTCTCAAATGCCAACTTCTCTTACCATCACAGAAATAATTAGTGTCTTCCTCCTCTAAAGTTCCATAATACTTTAAAAATTCTCTCATTTGCTTCCATTTATATTGTGGTATGTTATTTGTGTGACTTTTAATTAATATACATTATAAAAGAGCCAGAGGCATGCCTGGTTTGTGCCAGCAGGCCTGAATCACTTAACACAAGGATGCTTACACTCATTAAATGACTAATAAGTTATTTCCGCTAATATTGAACCATGTTATAGACTTGTTTTAACAGCATATTTACACTCTTTTTTAAAAAGATTTATTTATTTATTATTCATACAGTGTTCTGGCATGCATGCCAGAAGAAGGTATGAGATCTCATTATAGATGGTTGTGAGCCACCATGTGGTTGCTGGGAATTGAACTCAGGACCTCTGGAAGACTAGCTCTTAACCTCTGAGCCATCTCTCCAGCCCCCCCCCCATATTTACAATCTTAATTATACCTTAAGCTAAAATTAATAGGTTTGCATTTTTTCAAGTAAACTGTAGAAGCTAGCTGTTTATATGTCTGTTAAGTGAGAGGATTAAATGAGGTTGGGCTTTACAGTTTGCCAAGAAAAGGCTACAAATGAATAAGTAAGAGTTACTAATTGGTTAAGAACTTAAAACATTTTTTTTTCTTTTGGTGGTGATAAAACTGGAGGAGTGTCCCAGTTCTAAATGAAGGCAAAGGATGTTTTTAGAGATTAGAGTCATAGTCACGGCAGGAGCAACTCTTTTAAAAAATTCCATAAAAGGAAATAAATAAGCAAATGATTAAAAGGCAAAAATAGAACAAACCAAAAAAAAAAAAAACTCAGCACCACTAGGCCAACACAAATGGGATAGATCGGTAGCAGATACTAGGCTGTTCTTTGAACAGGTAAACCTCAGTCCTAATCAGGGACACAGGGGCAAGTGACAGAGAAAAATTTCCCTAGAACACTCTGAAAAAGTAACCTTGAGGATGCATGTTTCATAAGCACTTAAAAGCATTTAAAGGCCTTGATAGTTAATAATGATGAAGACAATTCCTTTAGAGGTACCATATTCTAGGCACTATGGAAGCCCCTCAAATAGAGAGGGCTTACACTGTTTGAATTTCATATCTTAATACACCTTTATTATCCTCACAATAGCCTATGAGATAGGCATCATTATCACTTCTATTGACAGACTTAAGCTATGAGAGATTAAGTCACTTCCTCAAAGTCACATGATTGTTTAATGGCAAAGCTAGGGTTCAAAACTTGGCTGTTAACCCCTACTTTGATTACCCTTCTCTGGGCCCAGCATGTCTGGAAGATCAGCTATCTAGTTACTGCCCTGTCCACAAGGGTCTGAGAAGGTCCTGGACTGCCCAAAGGAACAGCACTGACAAGGCATCTTATCACTCATCTGAATGCCACATGTCACTCAGGCTCCACATTCTATTTCCTTTATTCTGGTACTCAGTGATAACTCAGGGCAAGAGGTTTCAACAGACAGCCCATGCCCGGGCTTGGCAAGTTATTTAGCCTTGCTCAACTGGACCAGCAGCTGGGTTCACACAAGTCAGATGGCCTAGAACCAACCCTCCATGGTTAGAGGCTTAAACTCTAACTACTTCACAAGAGAAGAATCTAAGGTGATTGTGTTGGTAGAATCACTTGAGACAGGTCGATGGGGAAGCCTTCAGTTACTATACATTCATGGCCTTATTTTCTTCCTGTCTTTCAAGTTTCTAGCATTACCATGTGAGGACTGTCATAAATTACCATTAATGCTGTTTGTGAGAAGTTTAAAGTAGGAAGAATCTGTTTAGAGCTCTTTGTAAACGGTGATTTCCTGCCCAATGACCTAATTGGTCAGGAAACTGATAAGTGAGCCTTCTCCATGTTCATCTGAAGTGAAAGTTCTAAAACTGGGGCACTCTCCCTTCCTCCAAGTTTTGAACAACTGTGATATTTAGATCTGCCAAGGCTGTATGACTTCATTGTCTGGAATTTGGTGGATTCCAATACAAATTTTCAAAACATCAACTAAATGAACTGAGCTTTGAGAATATTTTCATTATTTGGGATTTTTCGCCATCACCAGTTTGAGTCTGCAGAAATGTTTGAGTAAGA